AGGGAAAAAAAATCTTTAAATGGCTTATTGGAGCTCAAGACGTTGTAATAAATGATCTCAATCCTTTTTTAAGTTTTTAATTTTGAATGAAAAATATCTTAAGACAATGCAATAAAAATGTCTTTCAAGGCAAGAAATATTTCAGGAGCTAAATTTTTCTAGAAGCTACTTAAAGCAAATAGGTCTTTGAACTATTTTACTTGTAATGGATGACTTAAATCAATGTCTATACTACTGCAGATCATTCCACGGTCAATTATTTTGCACAGCATAAAGAGGAAGAATATCTACTGTAATTTAATTTTCTGAATCAGCTAAACCAGATATCAGAGACTATTGAAAATTCAGTATGGTATTTTTATCAGTGCTTCAAGGTCATGGTGATATCATGGTCTGCAATGATACACTTATTAATTAAAATACCTGGGCATCTAATTAATTAGATTATCAGGTAACACCTAATTAGGTCAATTAATCAACTCGGGTGATAATATTTATACCTTGAAATGTATTAGGTGTTGTGTTTATTTATTATGGTTAATGCAATTTCATCCCAATAACAAATACCGTTTTAGTGATTGTAAAGAGGTTTAACTAGATTTTTTATTTGTATCCATGACACTCATAGCATCAATTTGCACCAATCAATTTTCAATCAATTTTGATGACAGTACTAATTGCGACGGGCCTTATTTGATAAGCATATTTTGCTATTTGTGATGTCATCAAACACTTAGTTCTAATGGAATTGCAGGAACCACAGACGTCTGATTGAAAATAGGTATGTTGCAAATTGATGCTATCAGTTTCCACGATACAAATAATATTTCATCCCTTTAATGAATTTTTGGAATAATAGCTCATTTCTGATCAAGGCATTTGCTTCTTTTAAGTAAACAGCATTGTAGATAGAGTGTTTGACAATTGGTGAAAATTACTTCACTTCAACATCTGATAATAAGAAGCTTAAATGTATAAAATTATAATCTGAACTATTCAAGCCTTGGAGACATTTTGGGTCTTGTTTATGTGAAGCAAAGCAGTTTGCATACGGCAGTTAATTACGCCTAACCTCTAGCTATATTTGCAAAGTAATACAATAACAAAATATTTTCACTGTTAAAATAGTGCATACTACATCAATTGTAAAGTGACATTGAAAAATGAAAAAAAGGCACAAACTTGAAACTTTAAATCTTAAGAAATTGAAATAAATCAAATATGTGCAGTATATATCATATATTTAAGCTTATAGGTCACGTTAACGTAAATTTTGTGAACATTACCTTTGAAAAATTATACTTGTTTATTAATAAGATAATTTATGTTTTGACTTGACATTGACATATTGTGTGGTGTTCTAGATTAATTTCAAGCAAAAATGCACTAATAATAGTTATCTACAGCAGAGAAAATAGCTTGAAAAATGCTCCCTATTTAAAAGCAGGGTCCACAGGAGGTTTTTAAGCCTTTTCTGTGTAACTTATATGATACCGGTATTTTATTTTTACCAAATATTGGGATAGACATTACCATAGCATTTGGCTGGAGTAGTATAAGCACTTTTCTGACAAATGTCGGACTGGAAATCAGAATGGTGTTATTGCTACAAATTACCGACATTTCTCTTAAAACTAAGCAATAACCTTAGCCTTAACAAGATCTGTTTATGCGATAACTATGTAGATTTGATATCCTGTGATTTTGATGTCATGAATGTTTTGTGCTTTTGAGAAGTATAGTAATTACAAAATTATTTAAGCATAGAAGCTCAGGGTCTTTCTTAGAGTGTCTTACATAACAATTTTGGGTGTAATTATATCATTTTTCAATGAAGGCTACAGGCTAGTCCTTGAGGAACTCCAGGTTTATAATAATATTAAGCTTATGCTTCTAAAATAAGCTATGATGCTAAAGCAGACAAAAGTTTTGTTTCTGATCTTGTGGAATCATTCTACCTGTTGTTTTAGTGAAATAACATCTAGAGTGTCAAATGATGATAATATAAAATGCATATGGTGTGTTTGTCATTTCTTGGCTCAAGCTGACTTGAGCTATTTTGGGTGAGTGTAGTGAGCTATGACTGAAATAGTAAACCATTGTAAAGGTATGCTGATTAACCTAGGTGTTAATTTGCTGTGAAATTAAATTATCCACTCACCTGTCCGGTAAAGGCATCCTGATATTATCGATATTTAAAATCCAACAGCAAATTCATTTGATTTCTGCCAATTTTCACCATTTACATTGAAAGATGAATGACCGAATTTCAGAACTGTCAAGAAGATGAGGCAAATATCTGTTTTTAGAATCACAAATTTCTCCGATTTTTTCGCAAAATACTTCCGTTTGAAACACCAAATCTAACAGTCACATACTTTACGGAGCTATTTACAATTCAATCAACAACTTTATAAGCTCAAATCTGCAGAAAATAGTCGAAATATCCTAGAATAAGAATGTTCTTTTTGGGGTAAAATGCTTCTAAAAATGCAGGACCTCATCACAATGCAAGAGAAATTTAAATTTTTTAGCTCGTCGTTTCGTAATATAAAAGGGCCTGACAGAATACATTTTTATATTCGATTTCGTCATTTTGTTTGCAAAGTAATAAAAATTAATTGGAATTTATTGAGATTTGTGAAGAACTATATTTGTATATTCATACGCCATATTTTGGTACTATTTTTAACAGTCTCGCACTCTGACGATTCGGTCTAAAAATAACAATTTGGTACAAATTAACACAATGTTTTAAAACAATGCATTTCTCATGCAATATTGGCAATAATCCATTCCTTCTACATGATTACAAGCGATATTTCATGGGAATTTAGAGCAAATGAATGAATAGGGTAAAATGAAAGTCATCAAGTCAACATGACCTTTCAACTCTGACCCAAAACATGACCTTTCGGACGTGAATGGAAAAGCAATCAATATAATTTGACAAGAAATGGCTACTTTTTCTGAACCGTAGCAAATATTTGTCTGATCAATTGCGTGACGCCTAGATTTACCAATGATTATTTTTTTAATTACAATAAATATGTTTTTCCATTAGTGAAGTTTTTGAGATAAATCAGATTGAGATCTATAGAACCTGTCGGAATAATTGAATTTATTGGAGATTTAAAAAAAAAAATATGACAAATATCAAAACCGAAATTTGGACCAGCAGCCTATTCATCTTTAAGTAAATTTCCTTTGTATTTTCAACCCTTTCTACTTTTAAACATTTATTGGCGGTTTCGTCTGTTATTTTATGTTCATTTGTAATTTCCATGTTAAGTTAAGGCTAAGGGAGAAAACTCTATTTATTGTCCTTAGCTTTTATAATTATCTCCCATCAAACTTGCAACTAGGAAACTACACTACTAAATCGAGTTTTTGAAAGTTCAGTGAAGATAATTGGACGCAGATAGACTTAAGATTTGACAGATTTTTTTTTCAATTACAATATACCTTTACATAGATTTGATTTGACATGAGTTCCATTCTACTTTGGTCAAGCTTTCATTCACTTTAGGATGTCTTTTTTCAGATTAACATAAACTTACAATTTGATGCTGATCAAAAGCGATTCAAAATGATGGTCTTATCAATGATGATTGGCATCACAATTTGATCCCATGCTCACCAATCAAAAACACTGTAACAATGAATACCAGAACTCACATATATAGTAAGGAAATCATTCATTGAACACGGTATATGATTGGCTGAACATTAAATTACCCACTACCCAGAGCAGAAGATGCATAACAATTTCATTAGATCATAGAAAGTCATCTGTATAAGAAAAACAAAAAAAAAACAACATACCTTTTTATATTAATATCTTACATCTGAAGTAACCACAGTTCCAAATGAGAAATTTAATGTCAATTTATATCCCAATAATGGTCAATATGTATTAATATTGATTAGGTAGTATCTTAGGAATGGTTCAGATAGAATAAAGGCATTTATAGTATAAAATATGTTTATTCATTATATAAATACTAAGAATATAAAATGTTTGGATATTGGCACAATACATGATGCTAATAAAACATATTTTGATAAACCGGTGGATATCATGATTTAAAGAAGGAATGAATTTGAATGAATTATATGAGAAAATGAATTATGACTAGACAACTTATATGAAATTTCTCTTCGCTTATGTTTGTCTGATAAAATATTCATTTCAATCTGACACTGAGATATACAAAGTACAAGCATGTATCTTAAGTGTTGCGTATGTCCAGTTAGGAAGGAAATAAATCTAGTTATGGCATGGCATGTTTCAACTATCCAGAAATTCATTAAACAGCACAATTTTATTGGGATCGGAAATGTGTAGATAAACAAGGCCCCAATGTATTTTGTTTCATGTAATCTGGATGATACAATTTTGTAAGAGGAAAATGAGCAAGAAAATAAAGTTAGAAACTTGAGCAGAGTCTACTAGAGTAAGAATACATGGTGAATATTATCTAAAGGGACATCTTCACAATGTCAAGCTATTACAAACAGTTGTAAAAATAAATGATGAATATTATCTAAAAATGGACAGCAGGTTTAAGCCTTTAGTATATAATAATAACAGTTAAAAACAAACATTAGACAAATCAATTGATAACATAACAATAAAAACTGATATTAAATAAAGCCTGATACACAAGCTCAGAGATACACAAATTTCATAAATTATCAAAGTCAGACAAAAATGTCAAAAACTATTGCATATAACCTCATATAAAATTTTAGAAAAGACTATGTTCAGATATCAGCCTAGTTTATAAGCTTGTTTATTTATTATCGAAAATTCATAATTTTAATGAGACATCCAAAAATTTACAGGGAGAATTTTTATCTTTCCAAACCTCCATTTTTTTTTACCTAAATCAAGGAGACCAGCATCCTGTTGCAATAGTATACCTATAATAAATAAATCCAATATAGAAAATCTAAGCCAGACGTATATTAAATAATATAGACTATTTTCAAGGAGTATTCCATAAACATAAAAATTTCTGTTTGACAAAATGATCAAAAGCTAGACATCTTTTACAAGTCTTTATACCACAACGATAGCTCACCACTTTACCACTTGAATCTTTACCACGACAGTACTTTAAACCACAGGGGTACCATCCTACACAGGCATCATAACGACAAGTACAAGGTTTGAATATATCACTAGTGTCAGAACATTTACCATACTTAGTTGGTGCCAGTTTAATCATGGCTGACATCATGGTGTTGTAATCTTTTGATAAAGCTGAAATATAATATAAAATTATGTATAGTTTCTTAGTTTCAGTTCTTTCAAATATTTTGTTAACGTGTTTTTAGTTAAAATGCTTTTCTGAATAAAGTACTAATAATCTATATTGCAGGGCTATTAAACAATGATATAAGACAACTCACATCTTGATATGGTTTTCAGATCATCTTCATTAAAAAACGTTGATTCTTTCGCTTCTCGACAAATATTGAAAACATGTGGACTTATCACATGACTTTTATTCAGGTCAACTGAAAGGTCAAATGAATGAACTTCTTGGGGCCTTTCTTCCTCCGGTGTCCTGATAGCTGTTGGGTTTTTCTAAAATATAACATTGAAAGGTAAGAAGGTGTGTATATCATTTTTTTTATTTGTCATTTAAGTGAACCCATTGTCAGTATGATATAGGCATTAGGCATAGTAAGACTTTGGTAAGCAACAAACAGAAATGCTAGATCTCTGTCATTGAGAAATTTACAGAATTTTCCAAAAATTTAGAAGGAAATGGAAAGTCCAAAGAAATGATATACTACTGTACCTGACGAAGTTTTGACATGGCATCTGAGGAAATGAAATCATTTTTAGAAAATCTAGTTATAAAACATAAAACTTGAACAGATCCTGGTGGTTGTCCTCTTTCTTCTTCACCAGGAACATATGCTCGGAAAATCTGGGCTTCCTGCAAAAAAAAAGACTTTGTAAGGAAGCAGAATTCATATTTAATTTAGATAGGTCAATCAGTCGGTACTCCTGATTGCATCAAAAATATAACAAAACAAAAAAGATCAAAAAGCTGATATAAACAATATTAATTATGCATGAATTTCTTTAGTCTATACACAAGAACATAGGCATGTAGTGGTTTCCCCCGTTACAAGTTACAAGAACATACCAAAGCTTACTAAAGTTATGCAAATCCATCTCCTTGTTACATGCATTATATGAGAGCGCAGCTCTCTCGACGGCAAAGCCATCGGCAACGCCGTTGAGAGCAAAGCTCTCTATAATGGTAACACATACATATACATCAATTCGTTTCAGAAAATTTATGCCCCACGGGTAGTAAAAAAAAAAGTGAAAAAAAAGATGGCGGATCATGGGGGCCGCCATGTTTGTTGACAACTAGATCGCAGTCGTTCGGGGTAGTTTCGGAGTGAATATTCTGGAATTCTTTAAATAAATTACGACAATTGTTTCAAACACAGAAAGGGATTTTTTGTACCAACTTAACAACCCTTAAGTTTTATTTTTATTTTTCCTGGATATTCTATGCGTCATTAGGAATAAAATGACAGCTTTGACCTAATTTCCCAAGACTTTCTCCCAAGCAATGATGGCAGCTTTGTTGACATCATACGTCACGTTATAATGACGCCATCATTTAGATGATTACTTTCACCTTAAACAAATTTCTCTAGATACCTTATAAAAGATTGTCTACAGATCTTTTATTCATAGAAGATTACTTTCACACATATGATTAGAAGACAAAGTAGTTTGCATTACATACAGATTGGGTTGAATTTCTTTTATTTAATCATTATTAATTAGTGTTATTTTATCAATAACCTGCGCTCTCATTCAAGGCCATGCCTTCATTCATATTAAAGTATAACTGTTGAAGACGTTATCATACTTACAGATTTGAAATCTATGAACTGTGTAATCAAAGAGCCATCACTACTGGGATATTCTAAAGTTATGGTGTCTGATGACACATTTGATTGGATGCTTTCCACTAAAATATCTCCGCCACCATTTTTCACATTCACCACAAGTTGGGTGTGACAAATTTTGATTAAAACACAAACAAAAATGCTGTAAGATAAGCTGGGGATTAGACTCATTGACATATTCGTTGTTTACAGGCCTTCAAGAGAAGGAATCTCATGTGAAAAGCCAAATAGGCTAAATTTTGAAAAATTGTCAATTTTGTTCTTCCATTTTGGATACTCTTTAAAACCCACATCAAATGGTTTTGTTATTTTTTCAGTGAAAATCACTTTAGACACAATTCTGTATTTTCATAATCGATACAAATTTGCAAAACTAAATTATTTACCTATATAACTAGTTAATCAAGATCTTACTAAATGATAAGAAATAAAATAACAAGATGAAGATTTTGTTGGAGATTATTTTACTGGTTAACCACAAATTTAGTAACTGTAGAAAATTTATAAATAAAAAACGATAGATGTAATACTTTTTGGTAAGCAATTAATCTTTAGGTTGATTTTGATATCAATGACTTTTTTTTTACTTCTTGGAAGAAATTCACATATAGTTTTACCTAAATAATATGATAAACATCTATTAATTCGTTTTTTGATTTTCATTATTTAAATTTTCTTACGTTAGCCTTAGGAATAAAGAGTAAGGTCTTAGGAATAAAAGTGTTACGACGTTTCAAAAGGTGATATTTTTTGATTAATTTGTAGCAAATGTATATAAATTTTATATATTCTGTCAGCATTTGGGGTCTTCCTTTTAATGGTGAGATTGTCATGCTGTGATTTTGGTCTCCGAATGTTCAAATTAAGATTACTTTCGTGACAATGCCCCACCCCACCCTCTCTGAATTCAGTGTCAAGTGTCAGTGAGAGGTTTCAAGTAATTAATGTTGTTTATATTGGTTCGCCATACTGTCTAAATAATATTCATGTGCTGAAAGCAGAAATATAATCCTTTGGGAGAAAAATTCACATTGTTGGCAAACATTGGCCAAATCCATTATTGAAGATAATTCTAGAAACAAAGTGAATATTCATTATTATGTAGGTCAACAATGTTGGCCATATGACTCAATGTCATCAAAGCTGTAACAACCTCAGGTTAATATCTAAGTTGATAGATTTTTGTTCAGAAATATTGAGATCAGTCACCTTTTTGTACTACTTGGTGGTAAAAGTAAATCTATAGAACTTTGTATTAATTAAATATAATAATCAATAGAGTCTTTTCTTCAAAATTTTATATGAGAGAATAATACAAAATTAAAACAAAGTTTTTAGACATCTCACCTGATTTAACTATCAGCTGGGTTTGGTCATTTTTGGTTCCCTTTCCAGGCAAATTATTTATGATTTTCTTAATAAAGATACCAGTAGGCTACAGAATTTTTATGACTAGGCCTATTCCATACCATATGTCAAATTTACTTTTTGAATTTTGTCTTAGATCCATGGACAAGATGACAAAAAAAGTTGTGGGATATCAGAGATATCAGGGGTTTTGACAGGTGTTTTGTACCAATACTTGTATAAATAATAAGCCTAAGCTTATTTGATTATTTTTCTCAAGGTATACAAGGGAAATTTTTTAGGCAGTAAGTGTAATTTATAATCATGATTATTTTTTTTTTCAGACGATGGCAGAAAAACAGGGTCCATCTCCAGGGTACCAAGAGTCTAATTCTGGGTACCCAAACCACCCTGGTTACCCACAAACATATCAGCCAAAACAATCTGGTGCCTCGGTATGTTTAAGCTTCCTTTTCTCTCATTTAACAATTTGTTTCTAGCCTGGAAGTTCAATGATGTCATTGATGGTCATGTTCTTTATGAACAGTTTTAAGATACATACAACTTTCTAAAAATGATCATTTTTGAAGGAGTCTGTGGAATAAGAATTGGATTCAACCAAGTGCATAATAAATTTATAACTCAAGCTATGTTCATAAACACATAATTACAAAAGAGTGATTGTTAGATTGTGTCTTCTTGGCAATTAAGTGTCATAGGCTTGAATTACAAATACAATTCCTAAATTTTCTCAAGTGCTTAATAGTGACAAGGTTTCTACTATATTTCCTCCTTCCTTCTCTAATAAATGATAATTATTGCAATAAATCATTGGATGAATATCGTATAGTGTTTTGAATCACAACTTCAAGAATCGTCGCAGCTCTAGTATTGTATGTCCTCAATCATGACTTATACCTGATGTTGTAGGATCTCTTCCAAATGCCATATTTAATTTACTTGATGTATAAAAGAGCTAGGATTTATTTCAGAAACCAATAACTGTTCAGGTAGAAAAAGAAACTGAACATGATTCAACAGTAAGAGTTAAATATAGATTGATATGCTTGTTGGTGGTGTTCACAATCGGTTGGGATTCTGTTGAAAATACTTTCCTGTTTTCAATTTTAAGAGAATACTTAGGGCAAATTTGATGACAAATTTTACATTGATTCATGTTTACTTGATGTTATTTTACTGTATCTTTACTCAGAACTTCAGAAATCTGTGAATCACTTTCTTCTTTTCAATTGTTTCAAAGGAGATATTGAGGACAAATTTAACATTGATTCATTTTTATTTAGATACGTAATTTAGTTACTTTACTGTAACTTTACCCAGAATGCTTGAGAACCTGTTGCATGCGATTTCACTATTCCCCTTGCATGTCTCAGTGCCTTATCTTCAAACTTTTGTTTTAAGTTACGAAAGAGGGATCATCATTTATTAAAACTGAAGCAAAAGGTTATGGATGAATTTTTGATCTCTTCTTCTGTTTATTTCTGTCCATTGCTATTTCTGAGAAATTTTGGTTTCTTCTTTCTCCCTCATGTAGGAAAAATTGTATACTTTAAGCAAAAGCCTACTGTGAAAGTTTCATGAGAACATATCAAAGGGTTGAAAGGGAAAGATTCACCATTTTCAGGGAGTTAATTTTACCTTGATCTTAGAAACATGAATTGTTCAGCTTTATTCAGATGCCCCAATTTTCAGATAGAAGCTTTCTAATGAAATATAAAAGTGAAATTCCTTGTTTGAGGTTTATTTGAAGGAATTATGCAATTTTTGTTAAGATCTATGTGTAAGGCCCAAATTAAATTTATTTTGAATATAATTATGTGATATTTTCTTTTTCAGCACAGTAGTGGAGGTGGATTTTTAAATTCGTTAAAATCTGGTGTGAAACAAGTAGGAAAACAACTTGGTAAAGAGATAGATTATTGTTCTAATAAACTCAATACAGCTTTAGATACCAATGCTTCTGGGACAATGTTGGTAGGTTTCCTTATGATAAGCCAGTTTAGAACTATACGTGCGCATGTACAACACGCGACTTCAGAAGCACACATATTGCATAACTTAAAATGAAAAAATTCAATTCAGTTGTATTTTTATCTCACAATCCCTGATATAAAAATTGTTAACAATAAGAAAACTAAGAAATACACAATTTATGCCACTTGAATTTAAAATGAAAGAATTTCTTATAAATCTACCTAAAAAAGGTCTGATTTATGTCCAAAGTTTTGTGTATGATAAAAAAATATTGTTAATGATAGTCACTATAGAGTTGTACTGTTTATATTTGTAGGATATGTTTAAAAATGGTAATGTGGTACAGCTAGTATCACGAGCCAGTGGAAGATGTCTACAGATTGTATCTTTACCTGATAACTCACTTATTGTTGATGGACATGGCCCGAGTGATCCTAAGGCTTTCTTTAGTGAGTTTAGTTTCATATGCTATTAAAAATTGTACAACTTCTGTTCAAGTAATTGTCTTTCTTCAGTAACGTGTATGTTTCATTTCTGAGACACTCTGAACTTGTATTATTTTTATCTCAATTGATAATTTTCGTGTGAAAACTTTACTATTTCAGCTCACTGGACAGTAGTTAATGAGGGACAGAATCAGGTTCGTCTTCACAACAACAACAACTATCTTTGCATCGCTAATGGTCATACTTGTTTAGCTCATGTGGTAAGTAGGCTAATTGGCTAATGGTTATACTTGTTTAATTCACGTTGTAAGTAGGCTAATGGTCATACTTGTTTAATTCACGTTGTAAGTAGGTTAAAGGTCATACTTGTTAAATTCATGTGGTAAGTAGGCTAATGGTCATTCTTGTTTAGTTTATGTTGTAAGTAGGCTAATGGTCATACTTGTTTAATTCATGTGGATAGGAGCTTCAAGAGTTATTTTCCTTGATTTAAGTTATAGGTAGTGTTGAAACGGTTAATCAGGTCTGATTTGAGATAATCGGTTAACCGTCAATTTTATAAGAAGTAAGTTTTATACTTAATTGTGAAATATGTACACTGATTCGCGGTGACTTCAATGAGATACACTGAACCCACAACTGGTATAAAAACCTTTGATCTGTTAGAGACTGTAGCAATGAGTGAACTCTGTCAGGCCCGCTCGTAATCTTACAACGAAGTGTTTGTTTGGTATCTGTCGATTTGTACCGACAATTCATGGGGAACTAGCCAAAATCTTCCTGAGTACTCATTTTCACTTACTCTAGTTTAGTTAACGATGAATTACCGCCGCAAATGTGGGTTTTGACTCCTTTTATAATCTTTAGTAATTAACCGGGTAACTAACGGTTATTGCAGACGATAACCCAGTTCGTAAAATTCATTAACCATTTCAACACTAGTTATAGGTATCTTCTACCTGACTCTTAGATTTGAATATCAAGTTCAGCAGAGGTCAATTCCTTGAAAGATCTGAGAGTATCTATAAGATAAAATATCAGATGTGTAATAATGAGCTAAATAAACTTTCTGAAATATAATGTAACAGTTAGCTTAGCAATACCTATTGTCAGTTTTACTGGGTTTGTCAAATTTCAGAGAGTCCATGTGATTAATATTGTATATTTAATATATTACTATGTGTTTTTAACCTATTTATTTAGGGACCAGGCGTTACTCAAGGTTTAGAAACTAAATTCCAACTGACACAGACAAACCAGTTTGTAATTTTTGAATCTTTGAAAGAACGTCACCGCCATATTGGTATATTATCTGATGGTCAATTAAAACCAGCAGTGGCTACAGGAAGAGAAGATCATGCTCAGTTTGGTGTTAATGTTATAGTAAGTATATATCTAAAGTGGAACCTCTTTTTACTGCATTTTCCGTTTTTCTAAACTCAAATTGAAAAGAGTTCATTAATGTTACATGATATATGATCATGGAAAACACTCATGAAAAATTATGAAATTGTGGGCACATATATATCTTTTATATCTGATAGTAAAGTTTTAACGACAAGATGTGGGTTTTATGTAGCAGTTGGTCTGTGCATGTTGTTGTATTATATTTTGACATATGTTCTTACTCTCTCAAATCTGTGTAGAAATGTTTAATTGTAATGAGTTGTTAATTTTCTGTTTTCAGTATACACCCTACCCTACATCTAATGTTACAGTGGTTAGCAAATGAATCTTATATCAATGGATCTGGGAGCTCTTTTATTGGATATATATACTGGTACATAAGCCGAAAAACTAAATTTTCTTCTGTTCATGTCCCTGATTGTTTGCAGAATTCTTTTGTTTTCTATAAAAATATAGCCCTTTTGGCTATATATGTATAGTTAGTTTTGTTAGTTCCTGACTAATTTAAGGGTTTTTCATTTTACCTCGGTGGTTCCTGCAATTCTATATCTGCATGGTAAAACCATGAAATTGTTTTTTAGGGATAGTCCCTGTACTACAAACAAAAGCTACTAACCGTTAACCAATTTCACTGTTGATAGGAATAATTAGACCAAAGAAAAAATCTGATTATCAATTCTAGTTAAATGAAAATGAAAAACTTTTCTGCACATCTTGTTAAATGGAATTGAAATTTGTGTTTGAAATTCTCTTCTAAGGCTTTTTTTTGTTCACGATAATGATCTTGTTTTGTTAATTGATCTGTTGATTTTTCTGTCATTGCCTCTTTTTACACAAGGAACACAATTATCCTGGTTATCTAGTCTCTAGTCTTTCATATAGTAAACCACTCTATTTTTAACTTGTGTTTCAGAAATATAAAAACTGAACTTGAAACATGTTGTTTATCAGAGTTTCACACAGTGAACACTATGTTAACAGTGATAATATTTTGTTATTGTAAAATGTATATTGTTAACTGTATTGTTAACAACTCTTCCTTTTATAATATTTGATCAAGCATGCTTCTGTTGTGAAATTATTTTTCAAGCATAGATGTGACCATTTAAAAAATAAATAACTTGGTGAATTTTACCACTATTTTATTTTATCAATAATAGATAATAATTGAAGTTAACTATAAACAATATGGGGAATTTATACTAGAATATATTTATTATTATGAACGTTTTCTTTCAAGGAATAAGAGTAATGTTAGTTATGTTAGATTATAGAAAATTAAGCCAGTGCTTGAAAAATGAAAGTGTGGGATAGGTTCTAATGTTAGTTAATGATTACTGATTTTTTTAAAAATTTATCCAATAAAGTACAGTCATGTTGAGTGGATCAATAATACTGTAATATAACATGTTTTATAACTTTTCAACTCGAGTAAGACACTTTGGTTTTAGATATAATACTAAGCAAATAAGTTTATTAATGGAGCTTTCCTCACAGTTTTAACATTATAATTTTACTCTGACAGCTGATAATAGTTTTATTTCAATATCAGCATCTGTTATCAATTTTTTATTAATTTGTTGAGTTATATATATATAAATAGATTAAGTTCTATTATATTTTGATTTTGATTTTTACTAGTTTTTCATATTATAATTTACATATGCTGGACAACATTTATGTTATAAATATCACTGTCTTGAATTAGTCCCAAATATTACAAGTGTCAGTAGATGTAATAAAATCGTGTTGTGTCGACTGTTTGTGTAATATGTGTTAAGGGAAATCTTATTGAATTAAGAAAATATTGATTAAGAAAACAAATTATAATACTCATATAAGACATGACCTGCTTTTTAAATCATTAAATATATTCTTATTATTATGTTATATTGCCAGTGTGGTAGCAGTATATGATGTCCTCTATATTGATATCATTAATTTAATGGATCTGATAATAATTACTGTCCAACATTTATCCTTTTTGACAAATTGAATGGGCTTTATATAGATCTGATTTCCTTTTGTTCAGAGTTTGGATTTGAATTGTTTAAATTTGATTGTTGAGAACATGTTACAGTTCTCCCTTTGATTTTTTCTATATGATAATATATAATTTGATTTTAGAAAATGCTCATTGTTAATGGAATGAAGATATTTTAATTATTATTTCAGGGCTGTGAATCAAGATTTAGTTTTGTTAGAAATCTGATTGTTTTCTCCTCTTTTACAATAAACTATAATAATCTTTCTGTATTGTTCTCTTCTATTCTTATACATGTAGTAAGTGGTTTGTTGAGCGGAATAACAGGCATAGTTTTTGTATGGGTATCGCAGGATTGATCTGTGCATTTGCTAAGAAACTTCCATTAGATTCTCAAGTAACATATTTGTAAATTATATAAAGGATTAAGTTTTATGTACACCATGACGTGGTCTTTTTTCACGTGTAATATTTCACCAATGAACATTCCATGATATTTTTTCTCTCATTCCCAGTTCTTAATAGCAATAACACTTTAAAAATAACATTTAAAATGGGTTTTCTTTATTAATATATTTATTGTCCTGATAGAGTTAATATACAGAGACAGAGTATTATCAGTTATTAACAATAGGTCATACTATTAGGTTGACTGGAATCAAAGTAGGATTACTACATATAGTTATCAATGGAACAATTTAAGAATGAGAGCATTTTCAACAAATTTATAAATCCATAGAGGATTGGATGAATGTATCATTGTTATTAATGTACATGTATATAAGATATATATTGGCACATGATAGTAGGTTAATGACTAATCTACAGTACATTATGGTTGACTCTTCAGTTAATCCTTTCATTGTGAATATAATCATTATTCATTTAGGTTTAAAAAACAATAAATATTAATCAATCAATGTAATACAGTTACATATAAAAAGATATGAACACTATGAGTATATGAAATGATACCATTTAACTAGAAACTTCTTGTTGTCATCCTGAATACAACAACCTTGTACAAAGTATTCTTTAGATATTCCTTAAGTTCAGTTGTCCGCTTTTACAAAACTGTTTCAGAAATCATTTTACTTGATCATCAGTCCTTTGTTGATATGGTATAGCTCGTAACTAAACAGTTCTCAAAGTGTTTCTCACTGAATGCAGGTAGAACCATTCATGAGAACCAAACCTTGATGTCTAAAAAGAAGGGTATTTCAATATTGCTTGGAAGAGAGACTATGTCACAAAATAATATTACTTCTTGTAATGAATTGACTATTTGAGCAAAGAACTAATTGAATCAAAATACCTAATAATATTGACATCAGATGACAATTTTAACCACATGCATTTATGACAAACACAAACAAACAAACAATAATTAACAGTCTTACAACAACAACTCTATAAAATGAACCAATTTAAGTGTGAAAATAAAAATCTGGGCCTCAAATCTCAAAAATGTATATCACAATTTTTCAGCAATCAGGCTTTGTAATAATCTGACGGCTAAAATGATAAAATTATCCTAATTTTTCCTAAGGAGGAAAAATTACGAGTCTTGAAAAATCATAAATATTATTAAATGATAGCAAAAGATAAAAAGAGCTAGAGGAATACATATATAAGGAAGACATATTCGAAATGAAAATCAGGTATAATAATTAAATTAAAAAAATTAAATTAAACTTTCATTCTGTTTTATATACCCACTTCAGTTAACCTTTTAAGTCGACATCATCGAGAAAGAAAAAAAGGATAATTTGACGAACGCTCAAGACTGAATTAACTAAAGTGGCTATATTAAAAAAAAAGCTATTAAAAAAAAAACAAAATGAAAGTTGGGTTTAATTCACGTTATAATGATAATCAATGAGAAATCATTAATGATATGATATCACTATGTAGTTGTGCTATGGTTTTGACAAAATCTTTAAAAAAAATAAAACATTTCAAACTTAAATCATATAATTATATGCACATAAAGTAAAATATCAAAATATTCTGTGTGGCCATATCACAATCAGAAAAGACAAAGTGTGTTAAAAATAAATTTCCTTAATTTAGTAAAAGAACGTATGTTTTAATGATAAAAAGACTAATGCTATTTGAAAAATCAAAATTCTGGCTTACCGGTAACTAAAAACTAAATCTTGAGAGAAATTAAAATAAATAACCATAATAACAAAACATAACTTATTCTATCTATAAGAGATATTGTTGTCTAATATCTATATTATAAGCTGATCAAACTTAAAGGATACGGTAGTCTAATTATTTTGCTACAATAACTGATAAATCTTAATTTCAGCTCTCATTTATAGCATGTTTCAGATTCAAAATTCAATTCTGGTTCTCTAAGAATTTCACAAAAAAGTACTGAGCTAACTTTGACTGTCATAACTAACTAGGTGTTAATGATCTCCTCTTTTACTGATATTTTCCTGCTAAGTATATCAATAATGCCCTGGTATTGACAACAGTCTAAATTAGAATGGCTTAACTGAGGGAGAATCAAGCATTGATTATTGTATCTGGACACACCTAGTGTAGACATTGATAGTTGAAATTGAACTCTAATAGATGTAAAGCAAATATATCCCTTTAATTCAAGATAAAAATATAACTTTTTTATAAAACTACTGACTAAATGGAGTTATGAATCATTTGTTATCACATAAAGAAACCAACACAAACCTGTCCTAACAGCAATCCACAAGCCAAACTTCATTATAGGTACTTTATCATTTAATTTAATCTTTAAATTTAAATTTTAAACATGGCCAAAATGAGTCTTTGTTCATTAGTGGACTGACCTGGTGTCAAAACTATACAACAGAATATCTCTATAATCAAATAAATCTATAAAACTAAATAATAATTCATTAAACTAAGTAATTTTGAAACATTCATACTTAGAAGCGTATTTCAATAATTATTTAGTTTAATGGATATATCGTCTTATGTAGAGATTCTATTCTTTAGTCATGGAACCTAGTAAGTCCAACTGATGAACATATACACTTGTTGACACTTGTTGTAAGGGGTCTTTAAATTTTATGTTCATTCTAAGAGGTAGTAGTCTTTTTGATCAAAGAGACAGGCACAAACTGTATTGATTAGGAATGTATCAAAACTTTACTGCAATCAACTTTAATGTTTGTTTGTGACTTTGTTAAATTTGAAATATTCCTCCTATGACTGAGGCACAAAACTGATAGTCCAGTAGTTATATTTTGGATGGAGAAGAAAAAACAAGGTTTAAGGTTCAGTATTCTAACTACTATGAATTCTTTGTCCACCAAAACATCTAAAACTTCTTATTTCTTTATAAACTAAACGACTTAACAGCTGAAAAAATAAACCCCAAAAACATGAGTTAAATGATATACAAAATGATAAGCTTCCTTGAAATTTCTCTTAAATGAAAAAAATTCCCATTGAAACTAGAGCACAATGGGTGTTCGGATTATCTCCCCTTTAAATCTTCCACCATCTTTTTATAACAGGGAAAGGAAATGAAATGGTGTTTCAGGTCCCACTTTTCTTCATCAGATTGGGCTTGAAAATTGAGCAGTGAGGAAAATTTTGCCAAGACATGTTCATTAGCCTACTGTTTTCAATTTTGAAACTGATCTTTATCATGCATTATCTCAGTTTATTTTTCTTTCCTGTTATCCTCTCTGATCCCTATCACTGGCAGGGGAAAATTATTCGAAGGTATATCTCAACCTTTGCAAGGATTAAACCCTTGACCTTCATGTCAAAAATCAATAGTCTCAACTCACTAACCACTGTAGACCCCTTTGAATAGCAAGGAGTAAATATGGTCTCATATGGATAATTATAAAAGATTACTTACAATCATTGCACAAACATTGGCACCAATTAACATATAAAAGACATCCTGCCATCCATCACTACTACTAGCAGAGATCCAGCCTGTGGCTAGTGGACCTAGAGCAGCTCCTATACTACCAGTACCATCTATAATAGCTGTTACTGTAGCTAGAGCTCTAGCGTTACCCATCAATGATTTGTGGGTACCTAGATCAGCACTGACAGCTGTAGTTATTAAGGCGTAAGGACCATTGACTAGTAAACCACAGCATAACAATTGAACTGAAAAAACAAATTAGAAATATTGAGACTTTCAATAAGAAAATCTGATTTGGTATATAATATTGATTTCCAAATTTTGATATGCCTTATTCACTTATATTATTATATTTAGCTCTACACTAAGAATTTCAAGTTCTCATCTTAACCGAACTTCCATTTTGTTCACCCCACATTAAATCATAAACAATCACCATATTGGTATATCGGCGACACTACTGAGCAGATATTTATTAAATTTAAAAAATATATATTTAATTTACACCAAATTACAGGTCAAATGAACTAAAGAAAGAGTTGTTCACCTTCTAGCAGTGTCGTCTGAAGTGTTTCTGACAACACGAATTATGTGCATCAGCACATTACTAGTTACCACCAAAACGTCATACACTGGCATGTAACAATGAGAAAATGATTTCATTCTAATTCCTTTGTCAAACGAGGGAATTTTCTTTAATCCTTAATGAATTCTTGAATTGCACATGTCAATATATATAGGTATTACAGAATAATTATGTCATCAACTGAGTTAAAAATACAAAAACTTTTAGGCCTTAACACTTACCTACACTAGCACCATAACTAACATCACCAAACACATTATAAATATATAACTGAAAATAACAAAAAAATGTCATGTTGTAGACCATAAAACTATTTATTTCAACACTGTTAAATGTTCAACTTCATGTATAGTAAAATAGGGACAAAATTTTTTCGCATAGCTAATCAGTAATAGTGTTAACAGCTCAGCATCAGAATCTGAGCCTCCAAATCCATGTGTCTTGAATTATCTGAATTTGACTTGTCTTTTCATGATACTCTGCCATATATAGAAAAGATATATATATATATATAGAAATCGAAAGTGGAATTCCTTATTGGAGGTATATTTGAAGGGATAAAATTTGGTTTAATTTTAATTAGACTGTTCAGTACTAGTATATAATTTTAGAATTTGAAGCCTACCATAGGAGCCGCAGCAGCTAACATAATAAAACAAGTGGAAGCTCTAGCACCAGAATGATCTGATATCACCCCAGCTAGTATACCTCCTATAATACCTCCAACATCAAATAATGTAGACAGATCAGCTGACTTAGTAGCACCATATGGAGCTGTAGAAAGAAATATAACATTTATAATATTTCATCCTTTATCACAATCTTTGACCAATTCTACTGAATGTAAAGAAGTTAAAATAGAAAGAGATGTGGGCTGTACTTTAAATCATGTAAGCAAAATAAATGGGAATCAGCAGGGTTGATGTGTTAAATAGTTCTACAAATTTCATCAACTATGCCTAAATTTTCTCGTCACCAGCAGCCTCAAGGTAACAATGTTTATCTTGAAAATATTGCATTGTGCAAAAAAACTCAAATCAGCAAATCAATGACTCTACATCCAAATAGATAATAAACAGAAATGGTTCACTTACTTGTATTTTCAATATATTTTGGCAACCAGAATAAAAATGTATAACTAACAAGTTTGGCAAAAAACAAACATAATGAAAACTCTATTACGCCCTGCAAATATAACACACACAAAATTAAACACTTTAAAATCAACTGTGAAAGGAAGTCCATTTATCATATTCTGCTTAAAGAGAAAGTAAAAGGCTTTCTAAAAGCATCGATTTGCACCATTCTTTTTATGACATCAAAGGACATTAGATATATTATTGGCAGCTTTGGGTTATTGACGTCATAAAATGGTTAGTTTGTGGAAATGCAAGAACCACAGACGTCTGACTGAAAATTCCAATGGTGCAAATTGATGATAAGTTTAACAGTGGTAAAAAAGCTCTATGCCATTATAAAAACACATTTAGCATTTTACAATAGCAGAGAAATTGATCAAAAGGGTTCAACCTGTTTGACTACATTTTTAGGATTTAAGAAAAGAAGGGAAACTTACTGGAATTTTAAGAGCTCTTATTAAACTTATAGCCTGGTGTTTCTCTCCTGATGTTAACAGACTCTCTTCATTGTTGTCTGATACTTTACTGAGCAATGGCTGAAACATGAATTATTAGAATACAGTATACTCTGTGTAATCTGATATATACTGGGACCGTAAAACAATGTTCGATTAGTGAGAGTGATGGAGTACTCAAAGTTACGAGATATTTTAAACATTGTACATTGTATTAGTAAATTCAATATAAACAGTATTATTTCTACTTCAGACTTCCTCTCCACTCACTTTCAAATTGGAAAAAAATTACTCGTTAGCCCCCTTTAACAATTCTGTGGCCTACCTTAATGATTTATACAAACACCATTGATTACTAACAATGGACTTTGTAATAACTATTATTATTCAAGACATATCTATTTGACAAATTGGAGGAGACAGTGGACAAAGACCAGTCCGAAATAAACACCAAATGACTCCAGCAAATGTATTGGCAATGAGGTTTAATCATATTCATTTGCACTTATAACGCAGAAGATTATTTAGAACCTTCCTATGTTTATTCTTAACAAAATTTTGTATCTATATAGTGGTATAAATGTAACCTTATCAAGACTCTGTTCAAGATCAAAATGGCTATCAGATCTGATAGAAAGTTACTGGAAAGCCACTAGAGCGTTATCTGATAGTAAATGGAGGGGGATATTTTCATTACAATCACATCTAGTAAAATGGTACCTGTTTGGAATCATCTTGGATACTCTCATAACTTTCATAAGTTCCAAAATCTAACGCACTTCTTGGGTATTGTTGAATACGACTTTCCTCAACCAAAAAAAAGCAAATTCATCAAGAAAATTAAACAAACACCAATATTTCATTTATGTAAATAATAAAAAAGGATACGATCTTGTGTTAACAAAATTAAAAGTAAAATCATCATGTGTGACATATTGCATTAAATAAACAAACTGAAATAAAGACAGTGGCTTAACTACCATTGGGACTGGTTGAACAGGCCTCACCCTCAGAAAAAAATGCAGGAGAGCATATGTTAAAAAAATTCCTGGGGGAGGGGTGAGTCCACGAGACCCAGCCCAAACAGGACCCCACCCCCAGAAAAACATGCAGAAAGGCATATTTTAAAAAGTCGCCTCGACCCATCCAACAAGGCCCCCACTCATCTAGTTGTAAAAGATAGCAGGCCAGGCAAGGTAACATAAAATTGCATACAACAAATGTGGACGGAAAGACAGACCGACAGACAGGGGCAACGGCAATATACGTCTACATTTACATAAAAAGTAGATATAGGTAGACTTACTTTGGCATCTTGATTAGGATCATCACAATTAACATCAGAAGGATCTGTGATAAATCAAAATAAGTCATTAATATATTAATATATAATAGATCATATCAATTAAAGACACAAACCAATCATTCTGTATTATAAATCTCACTTGGTTGTGATTCACTAGCAAGTAAAAAATATAAATCCTTTTGTACAAGGACTATTGTGATTAGCCAGCTATCTGTGGCAATTTCTAAACTAAAATCTGATTGTCACTACTAGGAAATTATTATCTATATCACAAATATCTATGAATGATAATATCTTAATACCAGTAACATCTGTTAGTAAGTTAACTATATAGAAGGTTAAATCTATAAAGTTGACACAAATGAATTGCATATAATTTAGAAGATTGGATACTTACGTGGCACCAGAAATAAGAAGACTAGAATACCCAGACCACCAATAATCATTCCAGGAACAATAAACGACCAGCCCCATGCTGTTTTAACAAATATAGCTGGTATGACTGCTCCGAGGATATTACCAACAGAAGTGTGGGAGTTCCAGATTCCCATGATTAGACCACGTCTAGAAAAAATGATAAACTGTTCTATTGAAAACGGAAAGGATATTTTTTTGGAAATTGTCTTCTACGGACATATAATATCAATCCATTTTTAAAAGCCAAAAGCAATCCTTTTATTTAGATAGTATGCCCCATATTCACAAAATATCCTTTCTATCAGCTGGTCTTTGGTCAAACATCATAATGTATCTATTTAGAGCTTGGTCAACTTGAATTAGGAGATGACTTATTCAAGGTCATCAGACTTTCTGACATCAACCAAAATTAAAAACTACAACTACCATTTGTTCAACATAACAATGCAAATGGTGTCATGGTGCCCTTATTACAAGACCTGCAAAGATTTCACATGACAACAAAAACAGCAACTTAATCAGTATTTCAAAACATTTTTATGAACTGTCACCAGAATTTTTGTAAAAACTCTACATTCTAATACTTATCAATTTCAACTTGGATCATCTCAAAACAAGAATCTTACCTGCCTTTACCATACCAATTACCAACACAAGCTACAACTGCTGGCCAGCCTGTAGACTGGAAAAACCCACTTGCAATCTGAAATAATGAACAGATAATGGTTGATTACAATATTTTTGTCAGCCATGGCTAGTTGGAAGAATGAAATGTCTGGCTATGAATCAGGTGATCATGACATATTTTGTAATATTTAAGCCTGTTATGGTGAAAAAGGGCAAGTATGTGATACAGGATGAACATGAACATATTAGAGAATGTACCTGAACACATATATAAAAGACCAGAGCATGTATATTGTACCTGAACACATATATAAAAGGCTAGAACATGTAAACTGTACCTGAAGACATATATAAAATACAAGAGCATGTATACTGTACCTGAACACATAATTATATAAAATACTAGAACATGTACACTGTACCTGAACACATATATAAAAGGCTAGAGCATGTATACTGTACCTGAACACATATATAGAAAGTTAGAGCATGTATACTGTACCTGAACACATATATAGAAAGTTAGAGCATTTATACTGTACCTGAACACATATATAGAAAGCTAGAGCATTTATACTGTACCTGAACACATATATAAAAGGCTAGAGCATGTATACTGTACCTGAACACATATATAGAAAGTTAGAGCATGTATACTGTACCTGAACACATATATAGAAAGTTAGAGCATTTATACTGTACCTGAACACATATATAGAAAGCTAGAGCATTTATACTGTACCTGAACACATATATAAAAGGCTAGAGCATGTATACTGTACCTGAACACATATATAAAAGGCTAGAGCATGTATACTGTACCTGAACACATATATAAAATGCTAGAGCATGTAAACTGTACCTGAACACATATATAGAAAGCTAAAGCATGTATGTTCCAGAAATATCCCATACCAAACAGGGCACAGAGTAAACCACTCATTATCATTCCAGATGAAAGAAAATATCTTAATGGTATCCTTTCTGCTACATGACCACTGGAATAGAATGAAGTAGGTGAAGGAAACTGTTAAGATATTTACAAACCAGCGGTGTTTCTAGGTATAATTAGGTGACAGGGCTACTGAATTGTCAAGTTAGGCTGACAGACATCTCTTTCACTATGTACAGAGAGAAAATTGACATCTCTTTCACTGTGTAAAGAGAGAGAATTGACATCTCTTTCACTATGTACAGAGAGAAAATAGACATCTCTTTCACTAAGTAAAGTGAGAAAATATGAAAGCGTGTTTCTCCACCACCCCCATGGCAAAAGACTTGAGAATGTGCTTTATTTACTGAGCCACACAGAGTTGATTCAACTGTGCAGATGTCCAAACACTAGATATAAGGCCTACTGCCTCCTACTAAACTAAAATGTTTACTTAAAACAATTGAAAATATGTTAGTCATGACTGGGGATATAACATAATAGTCAATACTACTGACCTTATAAACATACCAACTGCATAGGCAAATAAAAACGAGACATCAAGGTAGCCTAATAATGAATTAGCTGAATTATCATCTGTAATAAAGAAAGAAATATATATCAAGCCTACATATTAAAAGAATACTACCTCTTAGAATAGACATAAAATTTACAGTCTCAGATTTGGTCAATAAGAGTATAATTATATTCATCAGTACGACTTAAAAATCATACAAATTTAACAGATTGTACAAGAAACATAAAACTTACCAAACGGTGCCCAATCACACCATGTATCATTTTCACCAACTGGTATCTTTCCATGAGGAGTTACCTCAGAACAATTCTGATGGAGAACATTCTAGAAATAGTGTAACATTTTATAATACTGAGTGCAGTTTAGTCGGTAGAAAGGTCAAGGGTGTTACAGATAGGATGACAAATATTGAGAAGTTCCAACCAAACTTTACTGGGTAATACAACAGAACTGATTTGTTTTGTCAGGAATAAATTGATCTGATTGTATTTCAGGATGTTGACCTATATGGTAGATGTAGGTGTAGGTGCGAAGCAGACCATGCTTACTCGTTTTTAAATACCTGATGGGGTGCTCCTCTTTTGAGGAGTCCACTACTGTACAACTTTCACATTTTGACATGCTTTGGGACAAGATTTTGATTAATGGAATTGTCTTGCTTGTATAGATTTTTATTTTTACCACAGAAATCTTGTTAAATTACAGATTATATTTCAGTTTATGGTTTTTCCACAGATAATTTAAATTGCCATAATATAATAATATATGATCTTCCTATTAGGTTGTTAAAAGGTAAGAGACGGAAATAGTCTAACATAAAAAAAAAATTATTATAAGTGGCCTGACAATGCCTAATCTACTTTTAATAAGATAACAATTTCGTTTCCTTATTATTTTTGGGCGAACGTTATTGTACCGGTAAACTAAAAAAGATTTATACCATGGTAGGATACTGTTAACGTTTATTTCAACCAATCATATCGCATCATGTTTAAATATATACTATGAATTGTGGGATAGTGAAACCCAAGGTAGAAAGACCACGGATACTTGCTTGTAAGAGAGAGGCAGGTGATTGACTGCTATAAATAACCTGAAACATCATCAGTTTGTGACCTTGGTATAAATCTTGTTAGATTACAATGGAGACCAACAAAAAAGATAGCTTGCCAGGCAAGGTAACATACACTACCAGCTGTCAGAATGATAACAAAATCTTTAGTGGCTTAATAATAAATTTTCAAGTAATCTTAAAATCATCAATAAGTCAAGGCAAAAACCTGAAACAGTTCATCAAGTTATCATGAAATTCAAACATGAGAAATGTCTCATCGCTGTACCCACAAGGGCAATAACTCGGAAACTGTTGATTCGATTATTACCAATTTCTAACTTGACCGAGATCTCATCATGCATATTTTCATCAAGATCGGATAAAAACTGTAGTCTCTATCGTGCCTGCAAGCTGAATTTGACAAGTTTTTACTAATACAAGGGCAATAACTCTGAAACCCTTCATTCGATTGTTACCAATTACGAACTCGAGTGAGATCTCATCAATATATACATGCATACCTAGTTTCATCTAGGTTGGATAAAAACTGTAGTTTCTATCGTGCCTACAATCGAAATTTGATTCGTTTTTACTAAGTCAAAGGCAATAACTCTGAAACCGTTCGTCCGATTATTAACAATTTAGAACTTGACCGAGATCTTATCAATATTTACATGCATACCAAGTTTCATCATGATCGGATAAAAATTGTAGTCTCTATCATGCCTACAAGGCAAATTTGACGCATTTTTACTAAGTCAAGGGCAATAACTCTGAAACCGTTCATCCGATTATTACCAATTTCGAACTTGACCGAGATCTCATCAATATATACATGCATACCAAGTTTTATCAAGATCAGATGAAAACTGTAGTCTCTATCGTGCCTTCAAGGCAAATTTGACGCATTTTTGCTAAGTCAAGGGCAATAACTCTGAAACCGTTCATCCAATTATTACCAATTTCAAATTTGATTGAGATTTCATCAATATATACATGAATACCAAGTTTCATCAAGATCAGATAAAAACTGTAGCCTCTATCGCGCCTACACGAAATGTGAAAGGACGGACGGACAGACGGACCGACAGACTGGGGTGACAGCAATATACGTCCACATGTCCATGTGGGCGTATAAAAATAATTACAAATTAAATTGGACATTGCCAATTGATGAGTATCTCATTGTATTGGTTGAATATTTCTAGGACATGTGGCATAACAATCAGATCATGGATGAGAAAAATATTTTGATGAATCATCTAGCTTTCACCAGGCTGGTTCTGAAAATGACAAATAAATGAAAAACTGCAGATATTAATATGTAATAGTTACCTTGACAACACTGATTGGTTTACGAGACAAATGATAACTGGCGTAACAAAAAAATGTAAAAATCAACACAAATATTCTATATCTGAAATTAAAAAGAGTATAAATATAATTTATTTGAAATTTTTGTTGTTTATATCATTAGAATTATTATCATACATTTTATCATTACAAATTTTCAAATCTACAACAATATCTCTCTCCAAATGCTTTACTCCTAGTACCTCTATCTAACCTGGTGGCCAAACACCAAATTTTAATGGAAGTATGTTTTGGAGTACACACAATGCTTTATTGTTTTCAAGATTCTGAACACAATTCCACTGGGTGCCAACTTGGGCAAAATTTTTAGGGAAATTGTTTTATGGACCAAATTTAAAATGGTTACTATGAATACTATTTTGGTATTCCTTTTTGATCAGAAATACACTAAAACTAAAAGTTCTACACAATCAATAATGGAACCAATAAATTACTGGTAAACATAGCCAAACATTCCAAAAATTACCTTTTCAGTCCTTCTGCTGATATCATTTTAATCAATGAGACAGGTATATAATTTTAACTTTTTCAGCGCCATGCAGGTTCACAAACTGATGAGATAACAGTTTATCAGAACAGAACAGAACATTTTTTCAATATCGCTTTAGAATTGACGTATGTAACAGTGAGAATTTTTTGTTATTGTAATAGTACATGTATCATTTTTTGATCGTTTTAAACAACCAGGTAACATATGTTGATGTTTTAACTATAGGCTTATATATTGTCAACATTTACTGAACAGAAGAATTAGAATATCATGTATACTGTTTGATCAATGCCATTCAAATGCTGTCAATGTTATAATTATAGGAGCACTAACTGAGATGAATGATATTGAATATTTAATTGTCTAATTTCAAAACTTTTACCAAGAAAGACAGTGCATAGTGTTTGTCATTCATTTATGACATAATCCCCACAATTACCAAAATAGTCTTTGGGAAATTTGATTTGGCTGTATTTGTCAAGTCATATCTGGAGGAAGCTCTTATTTACACAATGTAACCATGATTTGGATCTTTAGAACTTTCTTTTTCTTACTTTTCATGATGAAAATTGGCAAAAAATAACAATTTAAATGTAACCAAACCCCAGCTGGATTTAAAATATTTATGATAAAATATTAGTGATACAAGTTGTACATGATTTTCCATATTATTTTTTAATAACCTTCTTTAACCCAAAAGGCAATTGATATTATTCACTCATGTTTCATGACTTGTATACTTAATACTGTTAATAGAGAACACAGTAAATTAGTCATAATAAAAATTAAATTATAAAAGTATTGATATTTCTTTATAAATTACATTCCTTTATATTCTCAATAACAATTTCTGTGTCAAAAACATACTGAAGAAATAGATAATAGATATCTTACTGCAGTGGCGTGTCAGTGAGGGTACAGAGGAGGCATTTGCCCCCCTAGAAAAGTGGTTTGCACCCCTTATTGTACCCCACTATACTTTCAAGAAATCTAAATATCTACCTTTTTTTATCCAAATTATGAGTTGGGATGCACAAAATCAATTTATTTTTTCTACAATTTTCTTGAGAGAACCCTCTAAGACGCTCAATGAGAGACTTGCAACTATGACACCACCACAGAGTTGCCAAAATTTGAATTCAGCCTCAGCAGTTGTACCCCCATTGAGTCAATTGAGGGTCAATTTCAGTCTTAAATATATAATATAAATAGTCTTCAGAAGAACTAGAAATGTACAAAAATCGCATAATTCCATCAAAAATACTTCAAACTAGGAATTTCTTTTCCTTTTTCAATACGATGTCTTTTACATATATGGCAGTGTCTCAAGAAAAAATGACTCGTCTTTTTAACTTTCAAACGTGAATAATTCTGGACACACATGGATTTTAAGGCTCAAATCTCGAGGGTAAGCTGTGAACACTGATTGGCTTAGCTACAAAATGTCTGTTTCTGAGATTCTAATCTTTGAGAAATAATAATATTACTGGACACAGGAGCACAGAGAATCCTTCTAAAGACAATATTTATCTGTGTAGGCCTACAATTGGACAGCTTATGAAACAACCCTATCAGTAGGCCTATACTGCCCGCTATACAATATTAGGCCTAGCCTACACCGATTTTTGCAAACTTTTCTTTAAAGAAAATTTTGCTAAACCTTTGTGTTATCATAATTTAAAGAAATGATGATGTTTGCCGTCTGGTCCATTAATACCAGACCACCTGTTTGGACCTGTACTGCTCTACTTTAAGCCAGAATATCAGGGAATGGCTGGGTATTAGGTCATTTGAATATTGAAAATGCTACATATTATAATACATAATTTGATAATAGATAGTTATCATATACTAAACAAGCTGTTATCTACTTAATTAACTAGATATTGTTCAGTATTATATCGTTAAGTTTAATCATTTTTACTTATCTCAGTATCTGTCTATGATCAATTGACAACCAAGTCCAGAAGTCTAAAAAGACAATTTAGTTCTCAGCTAGTAAAGAAATTTTAAAAAATTGGGAAAAAGTGAGCTGTACTTACGATGTACTTCTGTTTACATTAATGGACGGCAAGAGTTTAATCCCTAACGGTATGGAAGCCGCCATCCCACCGTTGTTTTCGTCAAGTTTTTGACTTTTTGTTAACTTCAAAACTTCGTCTATGTTTTTCTTTGCAGTCACATGACAGGTTAAAGATAGACCATTAGTCGACTATATCCAGACGTTTTGCACATAGAGAAGTGATTTACTAGTCTGGTTAATCAAGTATAAAGATATGTTATCCGTTATGCTGTTATAAAATACTAGTCCGAAACATCAGCCTCTATTCCAGCCTCAGATAGTTTTTTTGACAGTTTATTGGCTGGAGCGGAAAACTTCCAAAATATCCATCAGAGGCTGGAATAGAGGCAGATATTTCGGACTATATTATTACTAGAGGGATTAACAAATCAACTAGGCCTATTTATGTGAACAAGTGAAGATATAATAATAGCTATTTGTTTAGACAATAGTGGGTTAATCAAGGATTGTCTGTTATTTAACCTATCAACTACTAATCCATTTCTTTACGGATCCGAAGAGTTTTCACGTTCGGCTTACAGATCAACCTTTGAGCATTTTGTGATCAGTTAAGTAGCTGCAAAAGATGTACCTATACTCATATGTTTACAGGATCGGGTGGTTTCGCAAATAGAGTCCTTCATAGTTCTTTTTAATGAGTTCTTTTAGCCTTGTACTGTGAGCCCACCCTGACAATTGTGTGACCCCTCGGCCCCTGGCTGAGTATCTGAGTAGGCTATCGGCAATGTAGTTCTACTTGAGAGAAACATAGGCCCTATACCAGTAGCCTAATCTGTTGTCTAAATTTCTACCAATTATAGGACTGCAATTTCATCTATTCATATATATCTAATTCCGAATTAAATTAAGTTTCCATCATTTCATCAACAACGGTCGTCGGTTCCAATGCGTTTTTGCAACTTTGAATGCAGTTACTGCCAGTGACGTCATAGTATCACTAATAACTGCACGTGAGAATCTAAATTGGCGCGAAAATTAAAACAACATTCAACTGGCGCGATGCGTTTTAATTGGCTTGGGCGCTTGGGCAATTGCTTATAATAATCAAAATTATTGATTTTGTTGGTCCATAGTATTTTGACCGTTTCTTTAGGGATACCTTCACGCCTTCTTTTTGGTCTGTTTGGACAACAGTAGATCAGATACTACCTGATAGCGAGTTACATTGTTTACTTTATGACACATTATACATAATTATGATACATTCTCGGTGAATATGATAAATTCCGTCCTCTATTCTATAAGTATGAACAACTATATTTTTACGACACAAGAATGTTTCTGATCTCTAGATTTCAAACATCCACATCATAAAGTTTTCCGAATTAGCAAGTAAACATCTAAAACTGTCACCTCGAAGCTTTCACATTTTCAATACATCATGTCAGACTAAGGGTATAATATTGCCCTTACATCAACTGTTATATATTCACTACTGGGTATGTGGTCCAAAATCTCCTTTTTGATAGCTCATATAGCTAATAATGATATTAAAGTATATGCTATAATATAGTGGTGGACGTGATATTACGACAATTATGATGATCTGGGGTCAAAACAGCCCACTGTGGACAGGAACATCTGTAAGAACCATGTGTATTGATACACTGGTGACTACACGGTTTGTCTTGGTAACACTCGTTCACATCTGAAATATAAAATATTAGCTCAATCAGGAGCAGAAACTTAGCCTTTATTCAATTCCACGAACAATTGGAAGTTGGAACGCATAACCTTACAGCCCCTAAATATACAAGAATTCACAACAAAGAATGGCCCACTGTTGTGTCAGCAATAAATAAAGGTCACGATTTCGCCTTGATCATTTCAATCATTCTGAAAGCAATAACTGCAATAGTGCCAATAAGATGAATACATTTGTACTACAAATAGCTTCGGAACTAGGCCCGTGCTTTCTATGAGTAATAATCTCATTCCACCTTAACAATCAATGGTTCATCAACGCAAATATTATCTGCATGTTAACAATGGCACCCAAATTTGTCCGTGAAAAATATGCCTTACCTAACTGACATATTACACCGTAAAAACCTTCTGGACAAATACATCTATGATTCTCACATTTCCCGCCATTTTTACACTCCGGTATACATGTTGTATCTGGAATATATATAATGCTCGTGTATATTCATTATGTAAACCAGATTCCGTTTATGTAAAAAGGGTTATTTCAAACCAGTTCTGTGGTGCAGGTCTGAGGGACTGACAGGAAAAAAGTGTATAGTCGTTGAAGGATAATAAACCAGCGGGGTAGGCCTACAGGTCATGAGCAATTAAGATTCCATCCTAGTCGGAAAAAGAAAAAGTCTGGGCTAAAGCCGTTGTCCTGGCAAAATTTTTGGCACTGCACACAGCAATTAACGATTTCATTTATTCTTCGGCGAACTATTATGCTTCATTTTGAAACGGACTATTGGTTGAATCCACATCGTACATTTTCTAAAACCATATTTATACTTACTCATACAGGTTCTACCATCATCTCGTAATCGTGATCCAGGAGGGCAGATACAGGAATAACCACCGAACGTGTTTCTACAGTAAAACTCACACAAACCATCGTTTTCACCACATTCATTTATATCTGAAATAATTATTTTCGATAAAAAACAAAAGCGGACGCAAGTTTTTCGGGCTTGAATCTCATAACACCTCCTCCTCCTCGGACGTCAACCAGGCTCCGCCACTGAAAGTATCTGGTATAAAAGGACATTCGGAATATACTCGTTTTCTCCAACTACCTACTACGACTACCAACTACCTAATTTGCGCTATCAGCACCCGCTGGAAGCGAACGTTAACTCGTCCTCTATATACCAACCAACCAACCTACCGTTTTCGCAGACTGTTCCATTAAAACCCCGGGGACAAGAACATGATCCCCCTGAACAAATTCCACCATTCATGCAATCAGGTATACACCCAATAGCTGAAATTAAACAGACAGTGTTGAACAGCATTCACTAAATTCTCAAAGACTTTCAGAGTTGTAAATTGAAGTCAAGATCTGTTTTCGATAGATCTTCATTCCCTTTTACAATGCTGCGGTGCATATTTAGGACTGAAAATGAATAAAAGAAATGAAATTGAGTTTCAAGTCCTACTGTTCGGTTTCTGATTGGATTCGATTTCCAACTGTAATTTCAAAAGATCTGTAACATGCATATCTCCCATAGCTATTAAACAAACCATTGATAAGTAAATAAGGTTCTGAATCAAGAGTAATCTACCTTTACACGTTCTTTTGTCAGCGTTTAAAGTTGTTCCTTCAGGACATCTACATTCAAAACTACCAAAGGTATTGTGGCAGCCGTATTGACAATATCCATCTTGAAGGTCATTGCATTCATTAATATCTGAAATACAAACACGTGGTTAAAATGTCTTTGTCCGATTTAATACTGGTCTGTGGATGTAGGATATTTCATCAAAGGTGCACGTGTTTCTACAAGCTAGAAGATCATGGGCATTCATACTTATGTGTCCTCTAATCCCAGTGTATCTTATTTCAATCTTATGCACAAATGTTTTGCTTGTGCGGATTTTTATTGACCTATGCCGAATTGACTTTACTGTGCCATTGCTGACATCCGGTACCGATGATTTTGAAGGTAACTAATGGAGCACATAGCTAAACCTTACCTTCTTCACACGAGCCACCGGTCACTCCAACAGGACACAGACAGGTCTTGTTGACACACCTTCCACCATTAGAACACTGTGGTATGCATCCATCTAGCACTAGCTGCAGAAGATCTTGACATGTCTTTGTGCCATATCCAGTTTTACACGATTCCACCAAGCACTTTTTTTCCTCACTGCAGACAACTTCGATAAAGTCCCCTAATTCACACTCAGGTCCCTCTAGACCATCTATTACATTATATCCTGGTTTACATGGTACCAGGCGTACTCCATTCTCACATGGCGCTTCATCACTACCCAAGCAAGGCTGATCATCAGTGTGATTGACGCATTCGGGTTTTCCATTTGATCCCGTGTGTAGATGGTACCCCTCAGGACATTGAAGAGGCAGATGAACACTACTGCAGACGAACCCTTCTTCAGTTCGGATGGCTTTGTAACCCTGTCCACAAAGCTCGATATTATGCTCAAGGTTTTTACAAATTCGATCTTCTCCAAATATGACCATGATCTCACCTTCGTTGCATTCTTTCTTCACGTCAAATTGGTACAATTCACAGAAATACCCAGAGTCAGTCTTCACCATTTGATGTCCTTCGTCACAAATAAGATTCGTCTCTTCCCTTTCAACACATTCTAAAGTCTGCTTCGTTTGAACGACCACTTGTTTTGAACTGCAAACCGGAAGTTGTTCATCTATAACCAAATCCTCACAGAAGAACCCAAATTGTGTCAGTGTAAGTATCTGACCTTGACTGCACGCTGGTTCGTGAACACTGTGTATATCTGTTTCGGTGTATTGGCATTCGACTCCATTACTGGAAACAACCGGAAACAATCCAACTGGGCATGGATTCTCATCCGGTTCGAGATCTTTCACGTTCTTGCACATTCTGTTACCATCTACTGTGAAAATTTCTAATTGATTTTTTTCACATTCAAGTCTGATAATTTGGAAACCGCAAACAGGTTTTCCATCAGATGTTTCCATTAATACTTGCCCATCTGGACAAGATGTCCGTTCAGTTGTGGTACGGAACCGCTCACCTTCAAATATACAAATAATTCCAACACCGGTGGACAGGGATCTCATTCCAGCTGGACAAGGTGCCTCGGTAGTGGTTGGTTTTGGTGTATGTATTCTGATGCATCTTAATCCCGTTTCTGTCCGTACGAGGATCTCTTTCTCCGGACAGGCGATAGTCGTAGTTGGAATGGCGGTGGTCGTTACTTCGATATATCTACAGATATACCCAGTTTCAATTTTGACAACTTCCATCCCACGTGGACAAATAGGGGAAGGAGTTGTGGTTATTATCCTCCGACAGTTCCTTACTCCATCTTCAATTTCCAGTTTTTCATCTTCATTGCAACGGAAAATCTCACATCGAGGCCCCTTGTCTTCTAGTATAAGGATCTCGTTGGATGAACAGTTAATATTTGCCCCAACGCTGCCTCTCAAAGACTGGCAAACTAGAAGGTTATCCCTCAACGCCCTGACGTATCCTTCTGGGCAATCAACTAGTGAGGGATCTACCCATTCTCCATCTAAATTCTTCTGCTTGAATCTCTCTGGTTCACAGATGAACCTGTTGAATGCCCATTTTTTTCTGAATCCAGGAGGACATTCATCAAGTTCGCATTCAAATTGTCCGTTTGAGAAAAATACTTTCCTGTGTCCGACTGGACAATCCGAGGATCGATCACATTTAAAGGTGCCATCCGGACTATCTACTCTTTTGAATCCTTTCGGACAGTCTTCTTCGATTTCACAATCAAAGTTCCCACCTCGCAGTTCGACCTTCTTATATCCTTCTGGGCATCCTTCTTTTGGTTCTTCAGTGCGTTCGATTGTTAGTTCACATTCAAATCTTCCATTCCCCAAGGGAACTTTGGTATATCCTTTCGGACAATCTTCATTTGGTTCTCCTTCCAAATCAACGATTTTTGTAGAGTATGTCGTAGTTTGTGGGTCGCCGTGTCTTTGATTTGAATCAATCTTGTCGAAAATTTCGCAAAATACTTTGTCATCTTTGATAACCTTGGTTTGTCCTTTAGGACAGCTCAAACCTTCAGTCGTAGTCTGCTTTGGTGTGGTGCTCTTCACTTCCCTTCTCGAGTTGATCAAACCCGAAAGTTCACAGAAAACATCATCACCTCGAATAACGACTGATTGATCCCGTGGACAATCTGGAACACTTGTGTTTTCTCTACATATCTTCTCTTCGTCTTTTATTACAATTACTGTTCCATCCGGACATTGTGGGACTACATCGGTGTTTATTTCAACCATAATGCCTTTAGAGTTTTCACAAAATATTTTCCCATCTTTTTCGACGATTTTCTGTCCATCTGCGCAAAGTTCTTTACCTGATTTACATATAGAGCGATCAATGACTGTTACTTTGCTTGTGCCATTTGGACATACGGGAATCTGGACGCCTTTTGTTGAAGTTTCGCCAATCTCGATGCCTATATCAATATCACCCCTGGAAGGCTCACAAAGTGCTTCTCCATCTCTGATAATAACTCTCTCTCCCGGAGCGCAGTACACGGGTGATTCGGTCGTTGAAGACTGTGGACGTCGTCTTTCTTCCGAATCAACGCATACCACCTCTCCGTTCTGTTGGACTGGTAATTGATTCTCTGAACAACCGTGAGGAGGGTTGGACTCATCAGGGTCTATAATTTCAGGCGATTCACAGAAAAATCTGTTGTTCTTTTCTGTCAGGACTTGGCCATCGGGACACTGGATTTCTTCCCCTGATTCGAAAAGGATCCTCAACAGTTCTTCTTCTTCGCAAACACCTTCGTATGTTCTGTATCCCGGTGGACAGTTCAGATCCGGTGGAAGATCCAAGATATTCTTACAGACCTTGTGGCCATTTTCTTCAACCAGCTTCTCACTTCTTAGACAGTCATTCGTTGATGTTGGCTCTTTCTTGCAGATGACCTTTTCCTTACTGGAGAGCAACACATAGCCTTCAAGACATTGTCCGTTTATTGGTGGTAGAACATCTTGGTTTGATTTGATGCAAACTGGTCTATCGTCTAGAAAAGCTAAGTGATAATTCAGTGGACACATTCCATCTTCAGGAAGTTCATTGAAAATAAATGATCCATCAAAAGCATCGTCTTTTTTACAAAGCAATTCTCTATCCTTAGTAATCAAGATATAACCCACAGGGCATTGTCCTCGCCTTGGTCGAATGAAATCTTCATTCGGTACTGATGACTTGCAAAGTTCTTTCCCGTTGGACTCAACCACCTTTAGTCCGGACGGGCATTTACCATCAATTTGTGCAATCCCTATGTTTGTTGACTCTGGATAGTCAAAGACACAGATAGCCTTTCCAGATAGTGTCCGCATTGTGTATCTAACAGGGCATATACCGTCTTTAGGGTTCAAGATGTCTTTTCTGCAGATTGATTTTCCTTCTATTTTTGTAAAGATGTAATGTTCAGGGCAAGCTGCATTAATGGGTAGAATTTCTTCGTAAATATCAAGATCCTTGCACACTGCTTTACCATTTTCAATCACCGGCTCCACACCGTTCACACAGAAAGTTCCGGTTTTAGCTGAATCAACTGAAGTGCTTACATCAGCATCTGGTGGTGTTACACAAACTGTCCCTGAATCACCGGTTATCAAAACTTGTCCTGGTGAACATGGTTGGTCTGTCGTTGAATTGTGTGGTTCCTCGGAAGAACTTGGGGGTAATTTTGAAACAACTTCAACTTTTGTAGGAACGACGTCTTCACAAAATAAAATTCCATCTCTTTCTTTGGGTTCTTGGTCGGAATCGCATACACCATAATCATTTTCATCTGCACAGAAAGTGACACCATTTTTGAAAACTGTCCTTTGTCGTCGTGGACATGCTTGGCTGTAAATATCTGGACCGTAGTCGGGGATTGGTGGAGGAGTAGGTGGTGGAATATCAATACATATTCCCAAATCACCTCGGTGGTCTTTAATTTGCCCTGGTGGACACTGAGTTCCCGTAACCCGAATTATTGGTAGGTCTGTTATTAGTTCAAGGGTTGTGGTCGTGGTCCTTGGTGAGCTGGTTTTATCTTTTACCACAATGACTGGGGTTGTTTGAACTTTCTTTTTGCGCCGGTTTTTATTCTTCTTGCGATCACGTTTTGGCTTTTTAACGCTTTTTCGGTAAGCTTCGCATACGATGATGCCTTCTCGAATTGCTTTAAAGTATCCTTTTGGACATTCGACCTCCGATGGATCCAACAAATTCTTCATATTCGTCATATTGTAGGTCAGAAGACGTTGCTTTTGAAGACAAAGATCACCACGGCAGATCACACCTAAACTTTCGAGAGTGGAGTTCGACCCTGAGATGGTTAGATCTGTGGAGTTAGATCCAGGAAGATCTACAGCAGTTGACTTAAGATCCTCAAGAATCAGTTCATCTTGTGGCAGTGTCAGGTCTAAAAATGGTTGATCACCTTGGAATCCAATTGGTGGGACGAACCGTGGCTTCTTTCGTCTCCGACGCCTGCCTTCCCGTAGTCTTTTCCCGTGTCTTGTTCTTTGTACCTTCCTGAATTTTCTCCGACTTTTACGTTTCGGTTTGGGTTTGTTAGTGGTTCTGTCTTCCTGATGCCGTGTCTGATCTCTCAGCATCTGGCTGGCAGGAGTGTTAGATGATGTCAAGGCCCTCTCTGTGGTAAAAGTGCCC